AGTAAAACTGACTAGCATTAAGCTTTTTAAAATGATGCAAAAGTATCACAGAATGGTCACATGTGATCTATTTTGTAAGTATTTTTACTAGCATATATGTTAACACTTTATTTTGATGGTCCATTTGAGTATTGGTTGACCGTCTGCTTAATGTTGATACTGCTCCTTTAACAGACATTTAACTGACTATAAGAAACTTTGCAAGTACATGTCAGCTTACACTAACCCTAACCCCAACCTAACAGTCTACTTATAATCTAATGATAAGTAGTTGGCATGTAGATGCAATGTTACATAATTCAACAAACAAACCATCAAATAAAATGAGACCGCATATATTGTATTAAATATTTGTATATTATTATTATTGTTGTTGTTGTTGTTGTTGTTGTTTTATTATTTTTTAATAATGGCTTTAATTTTGAGGTGAACTAAGTTAAACATTTTCAAATAAACTTTCTAGTAATACTTGAAGGAGTGTTTATGAGACAGTCAAACCTTTATAATCATTATGATATAAATGAGAGTTAATGCATAATTATAACAAATGTCATTAAGTATCATTAGCTCTCTTATGTCATTTTAAATAAAAAGATAACATTGTTTGAGATGTCTTTGTATATATATATATATATATATATATATATATATATATATATATATATATATATATATATATATTTGAATGTATGTATGTGTAATAAATCATTAAATATATTATAAAAATTATAGAATTCTTTAACAAATTCTTAATATTCTCTTGACCTTGAGTACAGTGGTACAAATTTAATTTGTCATTAATTATTTGAGAGAGTATTGACAATTTACCTGAGAGATTTTCATGATTTTTAAAAAAATAAATTTTAAAACAAATTTAGTTCCACTGAATTTCACAACACAATTATAATTTCCTCATGTCAGTCATGTTTATGACCCATTTATGACAAGTTATGTTTTTTTTGGTGATGTCAATATTGTGACTTCCTTGTTCCACCTAAAGTTGCTAGAGAAGCAGTGAGAGTCCTTTATTTTGTGATGCACTGTATACCTGAGACAGACACGCTGAGTCCAAGAAGTTAGTAGCAAAACTTAATATAAACTTGACATATATGACAAGCAGCATTCTGTTGGTTACCTGTTGCGTTAAGGCTGATTATTGCATTGTAGCATGTGGCATGGTGGTCAACAAAAAATTCAGCTACACCATTCTCTTCTCTCCTCCTAACACCTGTGTGAGTGTGAATACACTTTATTTGCTCTAGCAGATGCCAGATATGCCCACGTGACCAAAATATAATATATCACCATGAAATCCAAACCAAGAGATAAACAAATAAATATTACAAAGTAGGACTCCTATAGTCAAGTTATCATGACTAAGACAAAGCCATTTATTTGTCTAAGACATCTCAAACAATGCTATCTTTGCATTTTAAATGACATATCTGAGCTAATGACACTTAATGACAGTCATAAACATGCATAAAAAATGTCCGTCATATCATGATTATAAAGCTGACCATCTTATAATCACCCCTTCAAGTAAAGTGTTTTCTCTATACAATCGCTAATCCTGACTCTATATACTTGTTTTCATCAGGAGAATGCTGTGGAATGTGGATCAGCGAATGCTTTGAGTTTCCCACTGGTGGCCATTTTAATCCCAGCATTGTCATTAATGATCAGCAGGTGACCTCTGACCCCTGCTGCTTTGACCCATTAGTCTTACTAAACTCAAATCAGAGAGCCTTGCTTCCGCTAAACATGAAGTGTCACTCCACAGAGGCCAAATCATCTTTGTGATGTCTGAAGATTACTGAAGAAGATAGATGATATTTATTGCCGTCACGGACCGTGTTAGAATGTGCTGAGTGTTTTCTTCTTACATGTGGACCAGTGGATATCAGTGGCTGCCGTGAACCGTCACAGCTAAACGCACTTCATGTAGCTGTTCTACAAGGTTCTGTCATACACCTCCACTTTAGACTTCATCTGCACTGTGTGAAGCGCAGAGCGAGAAATGAGCAGAAGTGTAATTTATTTCAGTATTATTTGCCTGCCTCAGACTGATTTGGCGTTTCGTTTGGAGTCTTAAGATGCATGACTTGAGGAAATAGGAATATTTCAGTGCTGTTTGTAAGAAAAGCGTACATTATCATCAGATAGATGAGATGTGGATTCTTCACAAACTTTATAAGTTTTGCCTGCTTAAAATAATATATATATACTTGGAAAATAACTTTTAATTGCCTAATCCCTTTACATCAAAGGAAAGCCATGTTATGTAAATAAAAACATATTTTCCATCAGATTTCTCTCATTTATTTCAGTGCTCAGAGTGCACTATTTCAAGTATTTGTACTATGCAGTAGATTAAGATTTACCAGCTCTTTATTTTGAAGGTTAATAATTTATTATTGAGTAAAATTATGTTTTAATATTAGATGATTTTGCTGATACAGAATATACAGTATTTAAAATCAGAGTCATGTTTAAATGCAGTGAATGTCTGGCAACCTCAGTATCGTGTGGGATCTGTACTCATTTATTTCCATAATCAGACTCCACTATTTGCAATATTTGTACTATGCGGTTGGTCAAAATTTACCAGCTGCTTTATTTTAAAGGTTATTAATTTATTACTGAGTAAAACGATGTTTTAATAGTAATAGATGATGTTGCTAATTCAAAATATACAGTATTAAAATCAGAATCATGTTTTAATTCAGTGTATGTCTGGAAACCACATTATTGTGTGCATAATTTGCACTGAAGAAAAAAAAAATGTTGATGTAATTTTTAAGCTTGATTGTTTTATAAGTATGCTTATGTAACAGAGGCCAGCTAGTAAGTGCTGTGCTGGTAAACCTCACTCCTCTGACCTCTAAAGGTGCTCTAACAAGAAAGCAAAAGACCAAGGCCTCTAGTGTCTGTCACTAGAGTGACTGACTTCCATGCGGAAGGTCATCAGTTCGATACCAGCTCGGAGTTGGGTGGCATAGGACCGGCGGGGCTACATTGGTGCCGTGACCCTGATGGGAGTGAGGTTTAGGGGGGTGAGTGTAACGGAGGCCAGCTAGTGAGTGCTGTGCAGGTTAATCTCACTCCTCTGACCTCTAAAGGTGCTCGAGTGACAAGTGCTAGAGGCCATGGTCTTTAGCGTCCTTGTTAGAGCAACCGACTCCCATGCGGAAGGTCGCCAGTCCAATCCCAGCTCAGAGCAGCTTGGGTGGTGTAGGACCGGCGGGGTTACACTTACATAGATAGAAATCCAATGAATAGAAAATTACAATAATATTGGATGTTTTCTACCCTTCATTCATTCAATTTCTTTTCAGCTTAGCCCCTTTATTAATCTGAGGTCGCCCCAGCAGAATGAACCGCCAACTTATCCAGCACATTTTTATGCAGCAGATGCCCATCCAGCCATAACCCATCGCTGGGAAACATCCACATACTCATTCACATTCATACACTATGGACAATTTAGCTTACCTGATTCACCTGTACCACATGTCTTTGGATTTTGGGGAAAACCAGAGCACCCGAAGGAAACCCAACATGCAAACTCCACACAGAAACGCCAACTGACCCAGCCAAGGCTCGAACCAGCGACCTTGCTGTGAGTCGACAGCACTACCTCCTGCACCTCTGCTTCGCCTGACATTTCCACCATAAATATAATTAACTAAGTAAAAACAACTTGCATTGTAGTGGATCATTATTTAAGAAACATTCAATAAAGTATCTTACAAAATGAACAATGTAATGAAGATTCATGAAGTATTTTATTTTTTTTACATGTAAGAGGTTATTTCTTCATTAAAACAATCCTGTTTGGCTTGACACCATTATGAACAGAGTTTATGTAAGCTAAAACTAATTTTAAAAAATCGCAGAAACATTTATTTGCATAAGCTAACGTCGTTGCGCCGTAAGCCCCGCCCACTCAATTAACCCAGCTGGACGCACGGAAAGCATGTCCTAGGAACTGATAATTTAAAACTCACTGTCTACACTGGATACTTTAAACTATGTCCAACAAATTTATGACCTGAAACAACATTTTAATTTTATAATGTTGTTTTTGTTTAACAGCTCGCTTTCTCTAACATGCAGAAGGTCACCCTTCACACACAACTGGATCGATTATCGCTTCCGAGGATGTTTATGTTTGTTCACGCTTTGACTTAAGATTGTTTTGCAAAGAAGCCACGGTGTAACGTTAATGGAAAGTTCGAGAAGAAACTTATTTTGAAGGAAGAAGCCAACATTATTTGATCTGGTACAGCTGCTACATCAAAACAGTGAGTAAATCATTTCTAAGTGCTTTGCTTGGACTGCAAATGGAGGTTTATTATGGGAATCTACGTCATAGCGAGTCGTTTTCCGCCTTGTTTTATGACACTTATTAGCACAAACTGGAAACTAATACACATGCTTTCAAAACACTTATGCTGTTGTGTTATCCAAAATTTAATCTATTGTAGCCTACTAATGTATACTCTATTACAAAGTGCATAAATATCTGTCTATTTAGTCATTTCACCCTGCATGTTAATTTCATATTTTATACTGTCGTAACTATAGGACATAAAAAAAAAACTTGTATGTTAACTTGTGTACAAGTAGTTTCGGATACTGTGCATTTCTTTTTTGATGTTTTGAGTGTTTACAAACTACTAGCAATATTTATTTTTATTTTTTTGTAGTTAACAGTGGCTGTATCCTTGTTAAAATATTGTGCGCATAGTGAGAGTTAAAGTCGTAATTTTTGTGAATATTTAACTTTTTATGTGAAAGCTTTAATATTGTAAGTAAACCTAAAGTCAAATTTTACCAATAATTTTAGAAATAAATAACATTTTAAATCATTTACAATTTTCCACCAAGCATACCAAGCTTTTTATTTTCTGCTAAAGTGTAAGGTTGAGCAACATCATACCATAACAGTAAGTAGTATTTGGTTCACAATGTTCTGTTTTACTCTGGTTTTACTTCAGAAAAGGACATTTTACCCTCCCTGGCCCTTTAATCTGAGACTCAGTGCATCTGGATCAAACTGTATTCTTGATCTCCAGTGTAGGGCTGAACAGGTTTATCGGGGATCGTGCTGTACAGGTGGTAAACACTCTTTAAAAGAAGAATTACAGAAAAGATAAGATAAATGTGTTGGTTTTCTGTTAACCATGACAGGATTTGGTGTTTGACCATGTTCATACCTCAGTTTGCTCTGTATTTCCCTGATGTTGTGTATTAACTGACACATCTGGAATGCAGAACAGAAGCAGATCATCACTTCTCAATGCCTCAATTTGGAATTATTATTATTATTTTTTGGATATTTTTGAGTTTTCATACTCATTGTAGTCCTATTAACAGGAAACAATATTTAATTACCTGAGGGCTGATAGATTGGGTTTTCAGAAGTAATGAAAGTGTCTGTAGGGTTTGCTGTGTTGTGCTGATGTGACTCTGGGTGCTCCAGATCTGTGCATGAACAGAACAAAGCAATTTTTAAGTAATTGAAAACAATGACAAATGTGAAATTGCTTTACAGTCTCAAATCTTAGTAGTTATATCATTATGCTTTGATGTCAGTAACACCAAAGTCCCTTTAAAGCAAGTCATTTCACAGCAACCATCTTCGAAATGCTTCTTGTGCAGTATGCTTGGACATTCTGTTTAAATGGGAATTATCAAATTGTCCAAAATTGCTAGCCATGTTTATGATTAAATTTCATAGGAATCGCCAATAAAATAAGCAACAACTGTCTTTCTAGTTAAATTTTTTTAACGTTCAAATCACACAAAATGTGCAGAAACATCTGATCTGAGCCCCTTACTTGTAGAATTGTCGGTCTATAATCAACATTTTACTTCTTTACTAGAAGGCAGGGTTTCATTGGCCATATTAACCCTTATTAACCGTCTTGTCTAATTTAGAGTCTTTGGTAACAACATACAATCTGCATGTGTTGATACCAAACATGATGCAGAGTGATTGAATGAGTGCACTTGCAAAATAGTTAAAACTACAGAGTTCTGAAGGGAGGATGTAATGTTGTTGCCAGAAACTGTAGAAATGCACATCTGGGGTTAGTCCCTCCCCTGGAGAATTGTCAGTCTATAACAATGAGTGATTGACGCCTGTACTAGAAGGCAGGGACTTCATTCACCATATTGACTGTTAAACTTTACCCCATTCAAAACTATATGAGTGACATGTCTTGTGTTTTCTATAGTTTTTGATGTGAGCATTGCTTTATTTTAAAAAGCTTCCAAACTCTTTAAAAGTGCAGTTGTCATTCTGAGAAGTTGCTTATTTTGTGTTTTTAAAAAAGTCAGTTTTTTTTTCAGTTCCTTAAAGTTGTCTGTGATGATTTTCTGAGAATGATTTTTGCTTACCCTCAGATGTGGGTTGAGATGTGGCTGGTACAGAAGTGATAAGAGAATAGATCTCTGGTGATCCAGAACAACTCTAAAAAACACAATAAGCAACTCTTATTGATATGGCAATCAACTCTAAATGACACAGGGGACTCTAAATAACCGTGTTAAGGAAGACCTTTCAAAAGTTTATTTTACTTGGTTATTATTGTGTATAGTGATTGTAATTATGAGATATTGCAATAAAAACTGTAATAAAATCACTGGTGAAAACAATATGAATCACAATATGTAGCATAGGAATCAGCTCATAGATGGGTATTTTTCTTCATGAAACCTGAGATTACTGTCCTTTCATTTACAGTCCATTACTCCAAGGCCATAAGATTATAAAATCAAGAAGTTAATACAAACATAGGTGTTAAGAGTTCTTAAAGACTTTGTTGATTACAGATTTACTCACACATGTAGTCTCATTGATGCTTAAATGTTTCATAATATTTTTTAGATGAACCAACTCTTTAAAGTTGGTCTTTCTGATTTTTTTTCTGATCTATAAGAAAAGTATTGAATCCGTGATTTGTCAAATCTGATATGTGTGTAACACATCTGTGTATGACACCTTTACAAAATTTGCCAATATTATAAAATATGTATTACTTTGTGAGATTGTAAATGCAAGGATACTCACCGTACCATTTCCTTGACTGGACACATCAGTTTTCACAGATTTATTTTTATAGCTTAAAATAAAAGTGTATCATTATGGAATATTTACATGCATGCATATATCAGTTTGAAATTAGACAGTTTCACATTTAAACATTTATTTACAAGAAAGTTATTGAAAAAAATAAAACTAATCATGAATGAATGGAAAAACTTACAGTTTTATTCTCTTTTTGCCTTAAAAAACACAGAACATTACTTGTTACATTTTCGATGCTGAGAAAATTCTATATTGAGCAGTATATAGTCCAGTATACAACTGAACATACCTAGAATTTGTGTGTAAATATGACTTACTTGCAAACCAGCTCAGACAAATAAATACAGACAAAATGACACCAGCACAAGAGAAAGCCAGCACTTTAACCCATGGATCTGTGTCAAAACAAAACCACACATAAATCATCTGTCATCCTGACAATAGAAAAAGATTAAAAGTAAATGTTCCACAGGCATTCGAAAGAATGCCATCTTAAAATGCTTTCAAAAATTAAGGAAATAATTGAAAATAAAACCTTTTGTGAGTGGACCAGTTGTTGTGGATAGTTGTATATATATATAATATATAATTTCTCAATAAAAAAATAACTTGATATATTAATATTGATACCAGACAGAGAGGATGCTACCCTGGAAGCTACAGATATTACACAATTTACTGTATTAAAATTAAGTATTTGAAAAAAGTCTAAATCAGCATAATTATGACCCTAGTCAGCGTTGAATTCCCTTCATGGACTACCAATTTCAGTTACAGAAATATCAAAACTTTTTTTTTTTTTTAACCTGACATTAGAATTCAGCATTTAAATTCTACACAAATACTTTTATAATGAGAAAAAGAGGATGATTTTACCTGTGGTGTCCTTTGCTGTGTTTTCTAATAATGTAAAAAGAACATACTACAAGTGAAATCACTTTTCAGAAGACAATTCTTTCTCAAACCTATGATATTCTTCAAGACTTATGTTATGTTAAGATTTCAGAAGACAGTGTTGCAGTTAATGCTACAGTATAAATTACCACACAAATAAATGGAGAAAACGAGATCCTCTGAGGAGCCACAGAATGCTGTCAACTCATAATCTATTACCTCATTGGTAATCACTTCATTTAGCTGATCACATATTGACAACTTAGACATGAGGGTCAAGGTCAGAAATTAATTGTTAAGAGACAAATATTGCACTAAAATAAACCAAAATGCAGTGCAAATTTAAGGAATAGGACAAAAAATGCTCCTACATAATTAAACTAAATATGACGGTTACAAGTGAAATCTAATGCAAATAAAATTAATTTAAATAAGTGTCAGTTTGTAACATTATATTTAGATCCATGCTTTAGCATACTTCTACATGTTTCTTTGCAATGCTGAGCAGTGTGACCAATCATAAGAGTTATGTGCTCAGTAGCCAATCAGCAATCAACATTGCTAAAAAGCACCAGGGGCACATTCAAGCTTAAACCAGTGTGCAACATTTTGTTAATGTTTTGTAATATAGTAGACTGATAAACCAATAAATTTAACCAATAAAGAGGTGTAGTTTAAAAATAAAAGTAATTTTAAAATTAAGAATAGCAATGGCTCTGAAAAGGGCAAATCAACAGGGACAAATACATCAAGAAAAAAAATTACTCTACTATACCCTATACACTTAAAAGAATGCACTTATCAAATGATTTGAAATATGAAAAAAGAGAAAGAATATAAAACCTGTGTATTTTGCTGTGGTTGGTTGATCTGTTGAAGTGTGAACTGTTGGCTCAGCTGTATCAAAAAAAGAAATAAACTGGACAAATGCATAATGATCATACACCATTACCAGACAAAAAAGAGGCTGCCATAGAAATTACAGGAAAAAAATGCATTTCATTGGTGTATTAAAATATAAAGTTAAAAATATACAGTATAATGTATTAACTTTACTAGTATAGTAACAAAACAGAATAATCATGACTATTGTCAATGTTATTTTTTTCTGTATGTTTATTTACTGTTTGTCTACATCAATTATCATTTTGAGTTATAGATCAATCAAAATAGCAGCTATATGTTTTTTAATCTGTACATTTTAATCTGTCATGCACATACCTGCACTCTTTTACTAAAGTGAAAAAAGAAAAATAAGTGAATTTACCTGTGGTTTGCATTGATGTACTGGTTGGCAGGTTTGTGGTGGAATCTTTGCCTAATAATATAAAATAACATAATGTAAGAGGATATTTTTTCAAATTTTAACCTGTAAACAGTAAAAAAAATCTCATTTTTAATATATGTTAAGATTTTAGAAGGCAATTTTACAGTTTACACTGTAAAGTATTACATTAACAGAAAAAAACAGAAATTCTCTGGGGAGCCACAGATTGGATTTAACTGAGAATTCTCATATGGTCTCAATTGGTCATTTTGACAGGACTTTAACAAGTGTCCTGTTATGAATAGTGATTCTTTTTAGATGTGTAAAATGCCTAAAAAAAGTTGTAATGCTTATTATTGATCTAATTTAAATAAAATGGTTTGCAGTACGATATTACGAAGATATTACAAAGACATGTAGCACCGTTGTCCAGCTAGACACAACAATTCGTTCCTCTGCATGTCCACACATGTAGCAGAATGACAATAAAGCTCAACTTGTTTTGACTTTACTTGATCCGTATTCGGTACTGGTTGCAAAAATCATGATCAGAATTTTTTTTTTCATTTATTGTGTACATGGAAACATTTTTCAAGATTTGAAAATGAACATCTAATTTAGTGCTGCACTATTAATCTTATCGCAATCGCGATGTCAGCCTATGTAATTACATTACAGCAAATCTTGCGATTATATTAAATAAACAAAAGCGAAAGCAGTGCGTGAGCAGCGTGTACGCATCGCGTATGGAGATCAGAAGCAGCACACAGGCGTTTGCCTTTCACACTAGCTGCGTCTGCAGCGTGCAGCTCTTCGGCAGCTGCTGCAGAGATCAATATATCTCTGTCTATTCTATGTAGTTACATATATTTCTCTATATATACAAATACACCTTTAAAAAAAAGTTTTATCTGCACTAAGGCCCGCTGGATAGGCAGTATAGGTAAATGCTAAGGGCGCTATACATCCAGGGGGCGCCAGAAATGAGCGCAGTTAAGTTGGTTTTGTTTTCCATATACCTGACACATTCAGTGTTAGACGGCAATAACTCAAAAACCTCTTACCCTAAAAAGATCTTAAGTGTGTTTCCTACAAAAAGACAAAGCTGGCTATGTTTCACAGCTGTCTTTTTCTTTTTTTTGCTCGACATAAGAGCACTTTTCCGTTTAAGCAGTCGCATTATGTGTGTAGCCAGGAGAGCTCGCGCTGAGAGGAGCTCTCAGTAAGGGACCGTCGGAAAAGTGCTTCTTTTTTTTTTTTTTTTTTTTTTGCTCCGCTCAGATTCGGGTGTGTGTTTAAACAGACAATACACTTAAAAATATGTAAACATGTCCGTCCTGCATGTTTTACTTTAAAACTAATTCTTTCTTAAATGAGCACAAACAGTTACTGAAGTAGTTGAATGCTTCTTATAGATCTGTGCATTCTCACATGAACACCTCTGTTATCAAACAAAATGAGAGATTCATTTGCTGCTCTTCACTAAATAACTATAGTAACTTTAATCAATATGCAAATACAATTAAATATTTTATAGCTTTATTTTATTGTCAATATTTTCTAATGTTTGCTATGTATTCTATCATTTGAAGCTATGTGTTGTCCCATATTTTTTACATCCCAACGTTGACAGATTGCTAACCAATAAATAGCTATAGTGCTATCTGTTAGTTTTAACGGCAGCTAATGTTATGGAAGGGCATAGACGTTATGGAAAATATTAATAGTAATGTAACTACCCCCATCATTCCTGCCTCGTGCAAATGTGCAAATAATGAATCTATTCAGCAATAACGGTAATTGCATTGGCTTATTTATCAGATGTTTTTCCAGCTTGTAGTAGTCGATCAAAAAGCGATTTAGTTTCTTATGACTATACACTAGCAGTGGAATTTACTGCAATGTGACGGGGCACCACCTGAAATCTTGTCTAGGGAGCCAAATTGGTTAGGGCAGGGCCTGCCTGTGATATCATATCATTTGGTTTTTAATTGTCATGATGTTTTAGGCCTAGTTATAATAATATTTATACAATATAGTTATAATGATATTTATACATGATCAAACTAGTGTTACTTTCTCCACTTTAGTAACATCCAGCAGCAGAGTAACAGCTTGTGCAAAGTATGAGACGGACAAAATTAAAAAGTTAATGCATGCACTTATTTAACTTATATATAATACTTATATATACTTAATAACTTGGGTAAACATAAAACAAAGCTGAATAAAACTTTCTCCCTCTGCTTCAGCTGCACAGCACACAGCGAGCTTACATCATCCAGCATGCTTGTCGAACTACACTTCCCACAATACACTTCGCTATGGACTACAACTCCCGTAAATACTCTATTCCCCCTCTCCTGTCACACTAGCGTGCAACTTAAGCAAAACTGATTCTAAAATTTTTTTTACATTTGGTTTTGTAGTTTGGGCCTAAATAAAAGTTTGTTGCAGTTTTTAATCATTTAAGTTCATTTGATTGATTATATACAAGTCATTTATTGGGTAAAATTGCTACTTTTTTCTGTCATTCAATGTGTTTTGGTTATTATCAATGCACTGTCACTTTAATTGAGCGTGAGCAGCGCGGAAAAAATAGACCCAGCGCCAAAACTATCGCGCCACTGCTGCTTCAGTGACGCTCACGCCTCGCTCTGACGCGCTGCTGCTGCGTGCGGTATGAAAGCTCAGTTAATTTGGACGCCGAAAAAACGCACTGCTCACGCTGTGCTTGTGGTCACGTGACTTCATGCAGCGCAGTGTGGAGACGGGAAAAAATGGATACAGAACAGACCAACACTAAACTTGTGCCTCTGTTATTTGGTGATATTTTGGCTTCAGGATATCGGACACTGAGCAGAAAGAGGTACAGTGCAAAATTTGCCAAACTAAAATCGCTACATCACGTGGCAACATGAAAAATTTACATCAGCACTTGAAGCAGCAAAGAGAAAAGTATGATGAATGAATGGCGATAAAAGCCAAGAGTAGTAATGTAAAAATATTTTAAAAAATGGGTATTTGTTTTATTTATCTGTACATTCATGGCTCAACAATAAGGACTGCCCAGTGGCCCAGGGCCAGCGTGAGAGACACTTGGGACTGTAGACAGGATAATTACTGGCCCGATTAGGACAGTGCTGCCACTGCAACATTTAATTGGTCTGCGACTATTTGTCAATTGCGTGCATTTTAACTTTAGTCTTTAAACACTGCCTTCTCTGTGATGTCGTTAACACCATATTGCTTTTTGGTTCCTCTTGTCTGATTTGATGTTTTGAGCATGCTATTTTTTTCCGTAACCTGGTAACAGCCAGTACAGCGAAGAAACAGCGACATGGCAGCAACATCAAATTGTAAGGCTAAAAGAAAATGTCTGTTTCTACCGTCTTGGAAGCAGACATTTACGTGTGAACAATGCGACAAACAAAAGGGATAAAATTTTTTTAAAAAGTAATGTTTTGCATGGTTTGCCATCAGTTTGACAAGTCAGCCACCTTTTGTTAAATAATTTCGAACCACAATAAAATACCTCCACATTTTCCCCTGCTCTTTTTGTTTGGAAAACACTTTTATTAACATGTTTTTAAGTATTGAAACTCTAGATTCACTTTATTTTTGACACATTATTTAAAATATGTCGCAAAAAATAGCTAATAACTTCCCTTTTTTTTTGGTGGGGCCAGTGAAAATTTGGTAGGGCAAGTAAAAATCTGAACCACTGGCCCAATCGGACCAGTAGAAAAAAATTTTCTTAGCATTGAACCCTGACATTTGACTTTTTAATTTTATTTTAAAATTAATTTAATGATATTTATTTCAGTAATGTAAAGATGTTACTGTTATTTAATTTTGTACAACTTTGTTTTAATTTGAAAACATTGTTCATTTCTAGTTGTTGCTAGATTGCACTGTATACTGTATCTCGGTTGAAAAATAAAAATTTCAGCATTATTAGTAATCTGTGTGTGCATTTTTTTTTTAATAACAAGCAAGTTGAATCATTCCACTTGTTTATCGTATCGCAATCGCAAATCGCAATTTTTACCTTAATAATCGCAATGTGATATTTTTCCCAAATCGTGCAGCCCTAATCTAATTTATTAAACAGTTTTAAAAAATGTCAGCAACAGACAACTCCTAGGGCATTCTGTGAGCCTTTGTTGAGTATAGTAGATTCTAGCTATACTGCCTAAATATTAATTTTGATGATTAATAGTATTGAACTTACCTGTTGTTTGTTTGGTGCTGCTGGTTGACTGCTGATTTGTCTTTGAATGGGGGTCTGCTAATATAAAATAATATCAAAAGAGGAATAATTTTTCACAATGGTATCATTTTACAGTTAAAATAAAGCTTCACAAGACCAAGTTTTGTCTAGCTTACCAGCTGTACTGTTAAGCTGTGTGGTTTCAGAAGTGGACATTGACATTGATGCTGCTGAAAAAGCATTGTAAAATCTGCATAAATGTACATTTGAGAACATTTAATATAAGCCTGGAGGTAGGGCTGCACAATATTTGAAAAATCTAACATTGAGATAATTTGTTATTCTGAAATTCAAAACATTTAATAAACCACCTGTGAATGTGGAGTTTTTGCTTTTTGTTTTTTGTTTCTTAATGTTTTTTTTATTAACTTTTAAAAAACATTAGTAATGTATTATCCAACTTGATATAATGACTTTCTGTCTCTCTAGATCAGCTATGATCGGCTTTTTTTATTTTTTATTTCTGCATAAATATATCAGCCCCAGAATTATGGCACAATCATAAATATACCTCTTCTGTCTGTTAGTGGAAAATGCTCAGGTTTTTTTTATGGATCAAAACGAGTTCATAGTTCAATGGAGTAAATCAAACTAATTTGATAGTACAACATTTTACAGGTCTCTAATCATTCAAAGAGCAAAATTTATTTTAAAAAGTGAATAAAAAAACTCACCTCCAATGATGTGTGTGTCACTGTGTGGAGATCTGATGTCAGGTTCAGTCTTCAGTGAATAATCACAGCTTAACTGTTTGTTCTGCACTGGTCTTTTCAAGAGATCACTAAGAGTTGGATTAAACTTACAAAGATGTTTCTCTCCAGGTGAACTCTCGGAGTCACGGTTGACCAGAATAGCATCATCTCCATAGTAAAGGCTACAGTTGAAGACAGCTCTGACTAACAGTGGTATTTCACAGATTATGCTGAGCTGATTCTCATCTTCACTAACACTAATGACGGGTTTCTGAAGTTTGTCTGTTAAAATAAAATAATACAGATATTAAAACACTGCATTAATAAAACACAGAAGAGCAAGAGTAAAATATCTCACCTAGAACTGTGACTGTGACAGGAACTGAATTTGAAGATTTATTCTTGTGTCCGTCTTTTATTGTGTAGCGGCAGCTAATGTTGACTGATTGAGGAGATTTTCCACCTGCCTGTCTGAGCACTTCAACACCAGTGAGGTTGAGCTCACATGATGGACTGACTTTAGTTTTGAGCCTTTTTCCATTTATTGTAAAATTACAATGCTTTACTGTAATATCTGCTGGCGTCTCACAGCTGATATTCACTGATCTGGATTCAGTAAAGACAGCTGGAGATGCATGTACAGTAGGAGCATCTAGAATAAAACACAAACGTCCATCACAACACTTATCAATGTGTGTCCTGAAAGGAGTCTGTTAAAAGCGTATATACGGATATTTTCAATAACTTCCCGTATGTGTTTCTCAACTAAAACCTAGAAATACATTCATATGAAAAGCACAGATGCAAGTAAATACAGTGGATGTTTCCAAATAATATCTCAGATTAATACATGCACCTTTTTTTCTAGTTCCTCAAATATCGACTTGATCAGGTCATCATAAACAGTATAATACATTTTTATGCCATATCTAAAGTGAAACTGATATGGATGAAAGCAGAGAGGTTGTAGATTCATGTCTCTACATTCAGCTAAACATGTACAGTGCTGATTACACATGCTTTTTAAAACATCGTAACATTGACTTTTACCACAAATGTGAACAGAGTATTTATACAAGTGCAGATCACTTACTGTTGGACTGAACCTCAATAAGGAGCTGAAAAACAATGAAGACGAACAACTTCATCCCAGCGAGTGTGAAACAAACACAATGAAACACACAATGGGTGAATTAGGAAGTAACACATTAGAGGAAACCATTCAGCACGATCAGTTCTGTGAAGATGAAAGTATATCACGACACCATGTGTACAGCTGTAGTTTAATAGGGCAGAACTGGAGTACATGATGTGTAATGCTGTTTGTGCTCATAAATTTAAAGAGGAAGAGGAAATGCAGATTTATAGTTACATTACAAAAGTGTAAAATAATGTGGGTGTTATTGATGATAATAAAAAAATGCAGAAGCTTCGTAATTGTAAATGCAATAATGGTTAAAATTAAAAACGGTCTGTTCGAATAACGTTATCTTTAACTTATTTAAATAACTGAACGCGCGTGAGGAAATATGGATACAGCGATTTTCTTTTTGTCTCACACTACAATGTCAGGTTTAGTATTTTATTGTTTGCTAAAAGTTTAACTGCTTTAACGGCATGATTTATGTTTTTGGAGGAATAAAAGAACTTTACAATAAATCAATCATAAAATGCGCTCCCCCTAGCCCCCCACCCCCGCCAGATTTTGGTTTGTTTTTTCAGGGCAACAACATGCTATTTGGGCACTAAAACACCAAGGTGTTCTCTATAATATTATATGTGAATTGAGAAACAAACAAGAAATACAATAGAAAAAGTTTGAATTGAACATAAACTATATCAATAAGTAATATTTCATCAATAACTAGCCATAAATGGTGTATTGTGAGTACTGTGGGGTACAGATTGAATGTACTTATTTATTAATGTTTATAATACACTGTGGAACCTCAGAAAGCAGTTGTTGGTGGATGTGAAGCAAAGGTGGGTGCCACTTTTTCATCACTTGGCTTTAGTTCAGGGTGCCCAAACTCGGTCCTGGTGGGCTGGTGTCCTGAAGCTCTAATCCCAATTACACACCTGAACCAGAAGCAACTAGTATACAAATGTATTGGCAGGTTGGCAACTAAATAAACTCTGCAGGACACAGACTCCTTTTGGGCAACCTCTTTTAGATGTTTGCTTTTTGTATCTCCTTTTACATATCATATTCATTAATATAAAGATATTTAAATTTAACGTGAAATCTATCTTGCGTGCTGCTAGCAGTGTCAATTAATGCAAAAGTATGAATCTCAAAAATAACACGACAGTGTGTTATTTTACTACGGTATCTGCTGGTTTGCGCACTAATCCAGAACTCCACACCACTCCGGCGGCAATGGTACGGCCTAACTGTGAGCGCAGAAAAGAAAAATGGAAAATCACAATAATGTGTCATTATTTAAGGTTTGCTCTGACCTCAAAATTTAAATGCAACAACCCAAACTTGTAGAAGCAAAAATTAAAGCGAGTGTCAATTATCCGTTGTTGAAGTACTCAGAAAAAATGGAAAATGAAAGTTTAAGATGCATTTTTCATTTGTTTAATTTTGACTGCTTCATCTAATAGAAAAGTAATCATTTAAAAATGTAAATATTTGCAGAGATATATACAAAATAAAGTGGTACACATAGCTATAATGGTGCCTTAAGTGTAATGAAGCAGGTGACATGTTTTGAGGAACATAGAAGTAAAAAGAGATGTTTTCTCCACAAGGTGTAGTTCACGTCATCAACAGAACCTGCCAAAATACAGACATTATTATCAGATGTTTCTGTATCATGGGGATTATGCATACTGTAACTCAATCAGTTAAAGCAAGGGTGCCCAATCCTGTTGCTGGAGATCTACCTTCCTTCAGAGTTCTGCTTCAACTCTGATCAAAAACAAATAAACCTTTATTGGGATTGGGCACCCCTGCTTTAATTAATCTTGTACACTGTACTTACTAATAAAACAGCAAAGATGCATCAGTCCGATGAGCCCAGACAGAAATGAAGCAATTGGCCTGTCAGAAAAATACTTTCACATTAGTTTGTTACGAAAAGGGCATGAGTGAATAATTATGAGGTTTTTATATTACAGAATGAAAATACCACAACATGAATATGAAAAACTGATTAATTAAATATTTTTTTCAATCTTTACAAATATTCAGAATATCAGTGTTGTGTTAAGGGAATGATCAACCTTCAGTGTGAGTAACATAAGGAACAGCTGAAACAGAACAGATATCAGATTAAATCATATTAAAAGGAAAACAATAGTGTTTTAACTAGTATTAATATTACAGTCAGCAGTGTTTATATCCAGCTCTTACAATTTAACACTTAATATTTTATGAGAGAATTTAATAATATTCTTACATGTTTCTGTCTTTGTGGTGGATTCAGGAGTCGATGCTGCTGTGAAACAGAATCAACAGCGTGTCAGTCTGATGTCTTTATCTGTTCAATTCTACAATTTAGCTTTAGTCATGTAACAATATTTGGCCGCAAATTGCTGACTGACATCACATATTTGGGAAAGGCTTGTCTTGCTATGAATGTGCACAGTACATTTAACTCGCTAAGAGACACAGTTTTTCAGTAAGCAATTTAAATGTAAACCCATCAAATTATCTTTAGATGATTGTCATTTAAACAACTTGCTGCAAAATGAAGACCTCCCTCCAGGATTATTTGTCTCTCTGGTTTTACTGTTTGATGTTGTGCGTGTGATGCGAGTAAAATTTAATTTAATTTAGTTTTATTTATTCTATAAAATATGCAGAACATTTCTAACAAATTCCAAACACATGCATTGTCATATAGAATAGAAAAATTACAACAAAGAAAACAGGCTAATACAAAAGAAAATGTGTTTAAATTTTTAAGTTTTAAATAAAAAGTTTTCTGCTGATTTAGAAATTCATAGTCTCTTTGATAATTCTGGATTTAATCACAGCATTTACAGTATAAGTCTTGGTCAGCTCTCCACCAGTCTTTCTCATTGCTGTTGGGTGACCGTATGCCACTCCTGGAGCGAAATTAAAGCAGTGCAATGCAGAAGAGTTTAAGACAAGTCTGGAGATTTGGAGTGATGGCTTTTTTTTTTTATGTTAGTATGTTTTTTTTTTTAATAATCTCACTTTACTGATCTGTATAGAATGACATGATTTCTCATTGGGTTCTAAACTACTGAGAGGTAGTAAAGGCCACCGGAAGAGTTTGATCAGCCATCATACTGCACCATACTGACAGAAAGCCCCAATGTCTGTTGCACAGGGATTACTTGCTCCCCATCATAATTCAAAAATGACCTGCTGTACGGTTACAAATGTGACATGAAGTTTAGTACACAGGATGTGGCAAATCTGTTCAAGCCTATTTTGTCATTTATGTGCAAATTTTAAATTTTCTTTTCCTGTTAGGCAGGAAATGTTAGTAACAGCTGAAAAACGGGATCATAACAAATAATACAATACTGTAATATTCATAGAATGTAATGTTACTCCAATAGCAAAACCACCTGACAGCTATAGATGGGAGCAATGTCTCTTCTTAAAACAGGGCATATAGAGCCATATATATACAATTAAATTTGTTAATTTACTGTTACATTGTTTAAATTGTATTGGTATCATATGAATTTACTTAAAGGTGCAATAGGTGATTGTATTCAGAAATATTTTTTATTGTGCTCGTTGAAAGTCTCTTCACATTCTGATAGTAATGATTAAAGTAGTCTGTTTGGTGTGGAGTTATTGCAAAAATCGAGAAAGTCAATGGATTTGTTTGATTCGTAGATTAGGCTATTTCAAAAAGGGATATTCGATAAGAATTATTAAATCTGGTAATTTTCCAAAAAAAAAAAAAAAAAAATTGGTTTGTTGGTTGTACATTAAAGGGCACCTTTGGTGAAAAATCTACTTTTCAAGCTTTTTGGACAGACATGTGTATAGTGTATAGGCGGTCATATTGGGGTGATATAAACACACCCAGTCCTTTGTTTTCAATTTAACAACATAAAAACGGTGGACCAATTGGAGCGATTTCGAGATCGACTGCAACTTGATGTAGGAGTGCGGTTTCCCCGCCCACCAAATTGATTGAAAGCTTAATAACATGTCTCTGTAGTAATGCGTTTAATCATATCAACAAGACAGGACATGCGCAAAGCAACCGAGAATACAAGATCGGTTCAGTTTGCAATAAGATCATCAAGCATCATCAAATGTGATCAAGAGTGAGTTTTCCAAGTTTAAAATGTTTTAAAAGAGTGCATTTTATTAAATTACAGCTATTTACTTCAGCTTTACTTCATCACCACAGCTGCTAGTCAGAACAATTATAAAAGAAGACGCTTCAATCCCGGTTTGTGGATAATAATAATGTCTTGCATTTATATAGCGCTTTTCTGGGCACTCAAAGCGCTTTACACATAGGGGGGAATCTCCTCGTCCACCACCAGTGTGCAGCATCCACCTGGATGGCGCGACGGCAGCCATTTTGCACCAGACCGCACACCACACACCAGCTGATTGGTGGAGAGGAGACAGAGTGATGAAGCCAATTATGATATGGGGAGGGTTAGGAGGCCATGATGGACAGAGGCCAGTGGGCAGAATTGGCCAGGATGCCAGAGTGAAGGTGTGGTCACACTGGGGTTTTCCTCCCATAGACTTCCATTCATAAGCACGCGAATGCGTCAGACCAGAAACGCAGGGTCATGCGCCAAGTTTCACAGGTTGCTGCAGTGCAAAGTTCAAGCTTGGTGAACCCTGACCTGCGAAATTGCATCTGCGTGAGACCAATCGAGGATCAAAACATGATCTCTCTGGACAGAAATTTAAATCATGGAGCAATTGCTCGATTTTTATTTATTTATTTTTTATGTCCAATAATCTTGTTTAATCCCGCCCCTTTTTGCAGAGCCTAACAGCAGAATTTCGCAAACTCAAACTCTGGTGTGACCACAGCTTCAAACTCCTACTCTTTTTAATGACCACAGAGATTCAGGACCTCAATTTAACGTCTCATCCGAAAGACGGCACTCACTGAGCAGTATGGAGTCCCTGTCACTATGCTGGGGCATTAGGACACACACAGACCACAGGTTGGGTGCCCCGTGTGCCTCACTAACACCATTTCTGACAGCAACCTAGCTTTCCTATGTGTGTGGTCTCCCATCCAGGTAGCTTCAGTGGGTGACCATGTGAGAGTTGCAGTAAGCTGCCTGATGCTTAATCATTTTTTTTTTACATTAACATAATAGATATCCATACAGCAGTGGATATGATCGCATATCCTGTCACATTTGTGACAGACAAGTCTGTGTGTGTGTGTGTGTGTGTGTGTGTGTGTGTGTGTGTGTGTGTGTGTGTGTGTGTGTGTGTGTGTGTGTGTGTGTGTGTGCGCGTGCGTACGTGCGTGAACTTTGTAATGACATTGTTTGTGACTCATCGTTGCAACTCCACAACAAATGCATCAAATACTCATTGGTAAAGTACTTACTGTAGTATTTCTCACAAATGACCCAATTTACAGGAGATTATAAGGCAAGGCACACTGACAGGCATGTGGCAATGTTTGTCTTTTCGCTCCTTTCATTCTGCTTCTTTGATAAAATACGTCTGTAGGCATGTGGTTGTATGTGTTACTTCCGCAAATACTGTGTGTGTTGCACATTTATTTATTACAAAGTTTTAAAAATGCATCTTTTCGGTTAAGGGTTAATATGAGCATCCCAGGTTTGGAATTTCTAGTATTGTTAAGTACTGTAATGTTTTCTTACTGGTGAATGACATGATCTAGTGTTGTTTATGGACATCTATTAGGTGCACGTTCTTGACTTCAGGAAGCGTGTCTTTGAAGACTCAGGGAGGGATGTGCGTTTTCAATGCTATTATGCCAATGTTAGCATTTTAGCAGATCAGCTACTGCATCTAGACTGATCAACTAATATTTTTAACGAACATGATTTTCTGGTTTAAGAATTTTAATCAAGAATAATCAAGAATAGCAATGGCTCTGACAAAAAAAAAACTTGTTAAATTTTATCAGGGCGAATCAGCGCAGACAAATCCAGACAAAATGACAATAACACAAAAGAAAAACAGAACTTTGACACATGTATCTGGGTTAAAAGCAAAATTTAAAGCATGTTTATGTATTATGATGTTTAATATATGTGCTTTATATGCACCTGTCCACCTGACAATTGAATTATTACACAGAAGAACTGAGAAAATATATGAATGCATTTTTTTTTTTTTTTTTACATTTGTTGTGTTCATGGAAGTAAATGTTCCACACTGTACATTTGAAAGAATGCACTTATCAAATGATTTGAAATATGAAAGAGAGAAAAATAATATAAAACCTGTGTGTTTTGTTGTGGTTGGTTGATCTGTTGAAGTGTGAACTGTTGAATCAGCTGTATCAAAAGAAGAAATACATATGTACATTGTTGTACTGGTTTTATTGAGTACAGTAAATGGATGCTAGCTATATTGCCCAAATCTTTATTTTGACTATTAACACTGATTGATGAACTTACACGTTGTTTGGATGGTTCTGCTGGTTGACAGATTTGTCTTTGAATTGAGGTCTGCTAATGCAAAATAACATCACAAGTGGAATCATTTTTCACAAAGGTATCATTTTAAAATTTGAAATAAAGCTTCACAAGACCAAGTGTTATCTGTAACTTACCTGCTGTACTGTATATCTGTGTGCTTTCAGAAGTTGACGTTGAAGTTGATGCTGCTGAAAAAGCATTAAAAAATATGCAGTTATGGATATTTGAGAACACTTAAAAATAAGCCTCGAAGAACAGAAGGAATCATCATAAAGAAATAATAAAGCCTTTTTGATTACTAAATGCATTACTCACTACTTTCCATGGTCATGGTCATTGTAACGAGTGCAGTAGTAGATGATGAAACTGCAAAAAAATTTACCAGCATTACATAGAATAATTGTAATAACTTTAGAGAAGGGATGCATAGAATATAGATTTTGATTGTTCGATTATAGTCTGAGAAGTAACTAACAAAAACCAGAAACAACTATCTAATAATAATATCTAATAATTTTAGAATAATAATGATGACGACAATAATACTAACAATAAATAACATTATCATGCTTCCTTGAATGTGCTTGAATGTGAGTTACACGCTATAAAAAGTCCTACTGTTACTTTATGAGAAACAAAAATAAAGCATTGCAGTAAGAAATATACATTTTATCCTATTGTTGTTATGCGCATGCCAATATAACAACCAGAAAGATCGGACAAAAGACAGGAATAAAAGTCTCACTTCTACTACTCTTTAAAGGTTTTGGTTTCGGTTTGTGTCATTTTAAATGCTCAGCCTTGTTTTAATTTATCTGTGTTCGTGGAAAAAAGCAGGCGAGTCAGCCGGCCCAATATATGCAGCGCAGAGCAGCAGTTCTCGTTATGACCACCTGCACAGTACCGTTCTTTGTCATGAGCCGAAGTTCAGTATAAACTTAGTAGTCATAATATAAAATAGTCGTTATAAACTTAAAGTCAAGCTTCTTTGTCAAAAAACTATACAGTTAGATTTTAAATTTAGCATCTATTTGCACTGAACACGCAGTGAATGCAATGCATCGAGATTCAGGCCATTAGACTGCTGATCCACTCTGAGTCTTTTTGCACCCTCTCCGAAAACACTTGACTGATCTCGGCTGGCGGATCAATATTTGAAATGAGGTTGGAAACCTGTGTATTTTTCATTGCTTCTCTCTCAAACTTCACTTGTTTGCAGTTCCCGCGGTCACAAAAACCCTATTTAAACTAGTGGGCCTGAACAGCGTGAGTGCGACAGCACATTGCGTCGCGTGCCTCTCGCTCTATTGGAAATAATAAACTTGCTTAAGCTTTCCATAGTTAATACCCTCAGTCATAGTTAGTCCAGTGTGTGTGGTAATTAGTCTCGGTGTACAAACGAGCACACAGTTTGCATAACTTTGTGTAGTTGCTGCAGTTTTGTTCTGTGCAGAAACGCGTGTTGAGAAGCCTTTACGATTATTTAACCATAATGAATTACCGCGGTTAATAGTGAAACTGGTTAATCGCTGCATCCCTACTTGAGAGCGAATATCAAGTAACCTTGAGAAACCACAAACTACTGAGTCCTAAAATGCAGTAATAATTTCCACACAGTGTAATATTATACATACAGGTTTCAATCCATTAAAGACATTACAGAACCAAAGAACCAGCACTGTAACATTAAAGAATGAGATGGTGAGTTTGAGTTTGAAATTATAGTTGTAAATAAATTGGCACTTATAATACTTTCATTCATCCTAATGTACAAAGAAAACTTAAATGTATTTTACAATAAATGTCAAATTTCATACTGATAAAGCTGGTTGATCTATAAAGTAAATCATGATAAATACATATAAAGTTAGGCCCTTGCAGAACATATATTTCAACATTTTATTAAAACATTTCACATAACTTACTCTGGACTGTGACTGTCACTGGATCAGAGGGAGGAGATAGTACATTAAATTGTCCCTTCTTCACGACGTAGAAGCAGGTTATTCTCACTGATGACCTCTGATCTTCTGACCAAACACTGATCTGAGATGCATTGAGAGAGAGCTGACATGAGAAGCTTGGATTTGAGTAGGTTTCTCTTCCATTAATGTTGAAGACACACATCTCCATCTTCAGCTCTTCAGTATTCCCACAGCTCAGCTCAACTGTGTCTGATTCCCGAAGAACTGAAGCAGATGCTGACAGTCTGGCCTGAGGAAGAGCTGATGAAGATAAGAATGATCACATTCATCACATTTATATCAGATAGATGATACATAATTTTTAATTATTTACTATATTTTAAATATTTATTAAATCACCTGTTAATGTGGAGTTTTTGCTTCTCAATATCATGTTTTTTAATTAACTTTAAATGAGCGTCAGTAATTTATTATCCAACTTGATATATTGACTTTGTCTCTCTAACACCTCAAACTTGATCACATCATCAGCTTATTTATATATATTTTTAATTTCTGCATAAATGTATCAGCCCTGCACTCATGTATGCCACAATCATAAATACACCTTTACTGTTTGTCAGTTAAAAATGCCCAGTTTTCTTTATGGATCAAAATTATTTCATAGTTTAATGGAGTAAATCAAACTGACCTGATAGTACATAATTGTATAGGTCTCTAATAACTCAAAGAGCAAAATTCATACAAAAATAATAAAATTAAAGAAATCACCTTCAATGATGTGTGTGTCACTGTGTGGAGATCTGATGTCAGGTTCAGTCTTCAGTGAATAATCACAGCTTAACTTTCTGCTCTTCACTGATCTTCTCAAGAGATCACTAAGAGTTGGATTAAACACACAAATATGTTTCTCTACAGATGATCTCCACTGAGAGTCACGGTTGACCAGAATAGCATCATCTTCATAGTAAAAACTACAGGTGAAGTCAGCTCTGACTGAAAGTGGTATTTTACAGGTTATGCCGAGGTGATTCTCGTATTCAGTAACACTGATGACGGGTTTCTGAAGTTGGTCTGTTAAAGTGAAATAATTCACAGATATTAAAACACTTCTATGACATTTTAAAGAAGAGGAGAAGTGAAATCTCACCTAGAACTGTGACTGTGGCAGGAACTGAATCAGAAGATTTTTTCTTGCGTCTCCCTTTTATTGTGTAGCAGCAAGTAATATTGACTGATTGAGGAGATTTTCCACCTGCCTGTCTGAGCACTTCAGCACCAGTGAGGTTGAGCTCACATAGAGGACTGACTTTTATTTCTAGCTGTTTTCTGTTTATTGTGAAATCACAATGCTTCACTGTAATATCTGCTGGCGTCTCACAGCTGATCTGCACTGATCTGGATTCACTAAAGACAGCTGGAGATACATGTACAGTAGGAGCATCTAGAATAAAACGGAACAGTCCATCACAACACTTATCAATGTGCCTTCTGGAAGGAATCTTAAAAGCGTGTATACTGATGTTTTCAATGGCTTCACTTTGTGTTTCTCAATTTAAACCCAAAAATACATTCATATGAACAGCACAGATGCAAGTAAATACATCAGTAGATGTTTCCAAAAAAAATCTCCAATTAATCCATGCTTCTTTTTTCTAGTAACCCAAATATTGACTTGATCAAGTCATAAAAGACAGTGTAATACATTTTATATCATATATAAATTTAAACTGATATGCATGATAGCAGAGACGTTGTAGATGCATGTCTCTACATTCAGCTAAACATGTATAGTACTGAACACATGCTATTTTAAACATTGATTTTCACCTCAAATGTGAATATAGTGCATTTTATATAAGCAGAGATCACTTACTGTTAGACTGAACCTCAATAAGGAGCTGAAAAACAATGAAGACGAACAACTCCATCACAGTGAGTGTAAAACAATGAAACTTACACAATGGGTAAATTAGGAAGTAACACAGACTACAGGAAACTATTCAGCACAATCAGTTTTTGAAAAGATGAAAGTAAATCACAAGAGTCACAAGTCATGTGTACAAAAGTGTAAAATTATGTGGGTGTTTTACTGATGATCAAAATATTCAGAGGCTTAGTAATTGTCAATGCAATAATTGTTAAAATTACAAATAGTCTGTTCAGAATCAGATAACTTTATCTTATCTTTAACATATTTAAGGAAATGAACATGAGTTGAAAAACATGAGAAAACATTTTTTGTTTTTGTTTTTTATTTAAAATTTATCTTTTTAAATTTAAGATCTTAACTGATCCCATATTGAATCTGCATCAACATCCCACAACATCCCAAATTGAATCTGCATCAATCAAATATGACAAAGATGTTTTTATATCATCATGACATATAATTTATTTTTAAATAAAAATAACTGCATCAAGTGTAGAAATAAAGCAGGTGACTGATGTTTTGAGGAGCAAAGAAGTAATCTGAAGTGTTTTCTCCATCAGGAGGTGTAGTTTACTTCTATGGAAACATCAACAGAACCTGCAGAAATACAGTCTTCATTATCAGATGTTTCTGTATCATGAAGATTATGCGTACTGTTACTAATCTAGTACACTGTACTTACTAGTGAAACAGCACAGAGAAATCAGTCCCATGATTCCAGACAGAAATGGAGCAAGTGGTCTGTTAAAAGAAAAAAAAAACTGCTTTCATGTTCAATACAAAAAGGGCTGAGTGAAAAACAATATGATGTTTTTATATTTTAAAATGAAAATACCACAACATGATTGTCAATTTTAGTTTTTATTTAGTTTTGTTTTTGTCTTTACAAATATTCAGAATATCAGTGTTGTGTTTTGAGTGAATGATTAACCTTCAATGTGAGTAACATGGATCAGCTGAAACAGAACAGAACAGATATTAGATTAAATCATATTAGTAGGAAACAATACTAATTTAATATCAGTGTTTATTACTAGCTCATTAATTTAAACTTTTAATATAATATTTTATGATCGAAAAAAAATAATAGTTTCCGTATGTGGTAGAAAGAGGAGTCAATGCTGCTCTGAAAACAGAGAATCAACAGTATGTGTAAATTCAAGTGTATCAGAGTCTGATATGATTTCACAAACAATAAAAGAAATGTATTTTTTTTTAAATTCATTTTAAAATTAAACAATATTAAAAGTTTATTTTTACTGATTTGAAAATTCGTAGTCTGTGATAATTCTGGATTTTAATCACATAAATTTTGGTGTGATTTCACATTGCTGTTAGGTAACTTAATGCTACTCCTGAAGCAAAAAAAATAAAGCAGTGCAATGCAAGAGGGTTCAGGGCAAGTATGGAGATTTGGTGCAGCTTCTTCATTATTTCCAGAGTTGTATGTTTTCAAAATAACCTCACTTACATTCTGTGTTAGTCAGAGATTTTCCAGTAGAGGCTGCTGTTGAACAGCAACCGAGATTTCCAAATGTCAATGATGCATTTATTTTGGAAATCTATTTGAACTTGTGATTATAAATGCAGTACATCTACTACTACTACTACTACTAATACTACTACTACTACTACTACTAATACTACTACTAATAATAATAATATTAATAATAATAATAATAGTAATAATACACTATAAAATTACATAAAAACTGAAATGTGTGCTGGGCAGGTTGTTTTTTATATATTCATCCTAAATCATTCTGTTTACCTGAATATATATGAAAGTCTGTCACAATCAATATATCGACTTATCCTGCAGTATTTAAAGATGACTTCAATATTTTTTGCCGTTGCAATATATATTTACAAATTCACAAATAACAATAAAGCCATTTTACAACGACATTTACATTCTACTACACCAGTGTCAAAGTTTATAACTGGACATTTACCTAATAGGACAATTAATAGTATATGCAGGACCTTTACCTTTTTAACATCAAATTATTTAATCTAAATAACCTTAAGAATAAGTATTTAAAAGTGTTTATAGCAATTTGCATTATTATGCTTTTATAAAATCATTATACAATCAGTACCAAAAATGATCTCAAAATGACAATAATATCGCTTATCGCAAAAATTTCAGTTACAACACATCGCACAACTCATTCATTCAATTAATCTGGGGTCGCCACAGCGGGATGAACCGCCAACTTATCCAGCACGTTTTTATGCAGCAGATGCCCTTCTAGCTGCAACCCATCTCTGGGAAACATCCACACACACTTATTCACACACACACACTCATACACTGGACAATTTAGCCTACCCAATTCACCTGTACCACATGTCTTTGGACTGTGGGGGAAACCGGAGCAAACCCACGCGAGCGCAGGGAGAACATGCAAACTCTACACAGAAAGGCCCCCACAGAACCATCTTCAAAGTAAAAACTACAGGTAAAATCAGCTCTGACTGAAAGTGGTATTTCATAGCTTAAGCGAAGGTGATCCTCATATTCACCAACACTGATGAAGTGTTTCTGAAATTTGTATAGACGTTTCAAATATCTCACCTAGAACTGTTGCTGTGGCAGGAACTAAATCAGGTGATCTATTTCTTCGTCTCCCTTTTGTTGTGTAACAGCAAGTAATATCCACTGATTGAGGAGATTTTCCACCTGCCCGTCAGAGCATATCAGCACCAGTGAGGTTGAGCTCACATAGAGGACTGACTTCTAGCTGTTTTCTGTTTATTGTGAAATCACACTGCTTCACTGTAATATCTGCTGGTGTCTCACAGCTGGAGATACATGCACAGTCTGAGATTCTGGAATCAAACAGATCAATCTATCACAACACTTATCAATCCATCTCCTGGGGGGAATTTGTTATAAATGTATTTTCTGGTTAATAGAGTATTTTAGAAGTTAAACAGCAGAGATCACTTACTGATAGACTGAACATCAATGAGGAGCTGAAAAACAATAAAGACGAACAACTCCATCACAGCGAGTGTGAAACAAACACAATGAAACACACACAATGGGTAAATTAGCAAGTAGAGTGTTAGACAAGAAAACAATTGAGTTAATTTTTGCACTACAGTATATGATGCATCTTTTGGCTTGTTGGGTTATTTTCAGCATTGTTTAGTTTTTTGTGTAGCCCACTGAATTATCATGAAGCATCTCTGTCTGCTGGGCTGAAGTAACATACTAAAAACCAAAACCTTTTGAGATGAGTGCTGTTGCTACAAATAAAGTTAATTCGATGATTCTGTGCTTCCTGATTTCAGTGTTTCAATTACCATTCCTAAATGGCAATAAAAACTTGTGTCGCTGAAGTACAGCTCTCAGCCTGTGGTTAGAAGCTTAATTTCTTCTCAATACAAAATGTAGACTTAAATACTGTAGATCATGCATGTGAAATGCGAAATAAACAAGTTGACATGCAGGAGAATATACAGTTGAAACCTGAAGTTTACATACACTGTATAAAAAGGCACATAACCATTTAAACAAAAAAGTCAGATGTTAATTTGACTGTTTTGCTGCAGGAGGGACTGGTCCACTTCACAGCATAGATGGCATCATGAAGAAATCATGTAGAAATACTGAATCAATATCTTAAGACATCAGCCAGGAAATTAAAACTTGGCCACAAATGGGTCTTCCAAAAAGACCATGACCCTAAGCATACTGCCAAATTATTTCAAAGTGCTTTAAGGACAACAGAGTGAATGTTTTGGAGTGCCCATCACAAAGCCCTGAACTCAATCCTATAGAAAATGTGTGGGCAGAGTTGAAAAGCTTGTGCGAGCAAGACAGCCAACAAATCTGACTCAGTTACACCAATTCTGTCTGGAGGAATGGGCCAAATTTCCTCAAACTGTTGTGAGGAGCTTGTGGAAGGATTCCCAAAACATTTGACTAAAGTTATAGTTTAAAAGCAAAGCTAAAAAAACAAGGAAATGGATGTAAACTTTTGACTGTTTAATAAAAAATTCAAAAAAAAAAAAAAAAAAAGTCTCTCATTATTCTCGCATTTAGCAAATGTAAATAATAATCCTAATGGACCTAAAATAGTAAACGTTTAGTATGATTTACTTTAAGACATTTGAAAAAAATGGTTATGTTCCTTTTTTAAGAGTGTATGTAAACTTCTGGTTTCAACTGTATATGCATGCCATTTCTTACATAAGTTATGGTGAAGCTACTGTTAACTTGACAAACTGACGAGCACAAAATCGGCTAAACTATATTTTGATAATTTGTGGGATTTTTTTATAGCCATAACTACACATTATATACATTTAAATTCTGCTTTAGGCTTTCACTTTGGCTGCTTAAGAGCTGGATAAATATAAACCTAAACCTCCAGTAGGTGGCAGCATGTCCTAAATTTATTTTACAGTTTTTTACAATGGCTATGACACTTTTTTCAATACATTTAACAAGTTTCCTAAACTTTTAACATGGTTAGCACAACATTCGTCTTCGTGGGCTATACAATTAACACATTTCTTGTTGCTTTGTCACAAAATGCATCTAGTTAACACCCATTTAAAATGCTTGAACTTCTTTTACACACAAGCACAACCAAGAACAAAACAACGTAATTTTACAGTCAAATTTACAAATGCTTTAACACAGCATGTCAGAACAGATAACACCATGTTCTAAACAAAAATTATATAGGATAAAGTCAATGAGAAACAGCTTATTGTGGTTGTGTGTGTGTATATATGTGTATATATATGTATATATATATATATATATATATATATATATATATATATATGATTCTCATCTATAGAAAGCACATGATCATATGTTCTAAAAGAGGACTCTTAAGTTTTTTGAAAGGAACAGTGAGCGCATCAAAGAACTCCATTACTAATACTGTAAATTCAGGTAAGGTTATGCAAAACAGTCATTACTGTACTATACACTGTGTGCTTTGCAGTAAACTACTATACTACTAAACTACTATAAACCTGGAGTCCATTAGTAC